CACAACGGAGGGCAGAGGTGGTCACCAAGGTGGCCCTGATCTATGCAATCCAAGTGTCCCTATACCTGGGGGCTAAAGAAAGTTCGTGGAAAATGAGATTAAAGGGCAAGTTTATGTTGGTGCAAAACCTTTGGGGAATCCAGGTGTGATTTCTTCGTGAAGACGTTTCCCACGGATTTCCTGAAAACCCCTTGTGAGAGCAGCTGAGCGGGGGGGACCGGCAAATGGTGTAGCGGTTACATTGCCGGACTCCCACACAGAGCTGACTGCGGTTCGAGTCTCAGACCCGGTGACTTGAAATTCATGCTGGGTACAAGTGCGTGCCCAAAGTCCTGGGAGGAGAATGGAAAAGAGACTGGCGTGCAGGTGATTTCTCACCTTCCCTCTCCCTCTCTCTCTCTGGAGGATGCTTGCACCCTAAGGCAAAGACCTCTACATAAAAAGAGAGAGATGAACAGGGCCAGCAGATAGTGCGGTGACTAAGGCGCTGGACTCCCACATGGCAGGCCATGGTTCGAGACTCAGACCTGGCACCTTGCTTTCCCACTTGCTGCCCTCTCTTGAGCTCTCGGATGAGTACCTGTGCCATGAAGCAACTTAATAATGATAAATGTTGGGACCAGCAGATGGCATAATGGCTCCGTCACTGGACTACCACGCAGGTGACTGCAGTTCGAGTCCCGGACTCGGTGGCATAAACTCACGCCGGGCGCGTGTGTGTGCGTGCCCAAGATCCCGAGAGGAGAATGGAGGAGAAGGGATTGCGGCGTGGCCATCCCCCCTGGGGGGTGATTTCTTGCTTTCTGTCTCTCTGTCTCTCTCTGTCTGTCTGGTGAGCGCACGCGCCCTATAGCAAAAACCTCTCCAAAAAATAAAAACATAAATGTTAAAATCCGAAATAATTCTTTAAAAAAGAAAAAAGGATAAGGACACAGAAAAAAAAAAGACCATGTGATGAAGGGGGAAGGGGCAGCATCTGCACACCACGGGCCAGAGCAACTCCGCCACCACCCTGTGTCAGACTCGTGGCCTCTGGAACGTGGCAGCTGCCCGGTGCTGTCCCGGCAGCCCCAGCGAGCCAGGGAAAGCAATGACACGCTAAGCGGCCTCAGGGCTGAAGGCAGAGCCCGGGCTGCGTTTACGATGGAAAGGCAGGGCCGGCCGGCAGCGCCGTGGTTAAGAGCTAGGCAGCGAGCTGGGTCCCACATGGCCGACCACGGTTTGAATCCTGGCCTCCGTGGATTGAAAACAGGGCAGAGCTGTAGGTATGTGTGTGCCCCACACCCCGACAGGATGGAGAAACGGAAAGAGGACCGTGCCCCGACCATGTTCCTGTGGGGCCCGGGGTCAGCACGTCCTGGGTGATGCCTGACACCTCCCACTCTCCTGTCTCTCCTGCAAGGATGCGCGCCCTTTGGCAGGAAAAAACCAACACCCGAGGGTAGGAGCCCTAATAAAGTACAAGGGTCTGTCAGTTCATGGGACACGCATTATGATGAACTGTGCTGGGAATGCCACGATCTTTTTTTTACGCCCAAATAAACACAACGAAATAACTGATTTTCTAAAAGAACTGCTAGGAGGAGGCCAGCACGTGGTGTAGTGGTTACGTGGCTGGATTCCCATGTGGCCACCTAAGGTTCGACTCCCAGACCCGGTGGCTTGAAAACCATGCCGGGCACGTGTGCGTGGACACCCAAGGTCCCAGGAGCAGAAGGGGCTGTGGCGTGGCCATCCGCCCCGGGGGGGTGATTTCTCGCTTTCCCTCTCACCGTCTCTCTCTGGCAAGTGCGTGCACCCTAAAGCAAACACCTCTTAAGATTTTTTTTTTTTCTTTCAAAAATTGCTAAAGGGGGTGTGTGCTCACCGGTGAGGAAGTGGGGTGTGGTCACACTGCCACCCCTCCGCTTCCATTTCTCCATAGTCGTGACTTGGGGCAGGCACGCACACACACCCTGTGGGACCTGGCCCCTTTAACCAGTTAGCCCCAGGGCCGACCCTCAAGCTGGTGTTCAGAACAGACTAACGGAGGAGAGCGGATGGGCACAGCGGGCAGCAGCAGAGGAAGAGCCAGGTCACGCCACGCCTGTCCAGGGAGCTGGCACTTACTGTTCCTCGTGACACGGCAGCACCCCCTCCTACAGAGTGCTCTGACCCTGGCGCAAGGGGGATGAGGGGACGGGACGTGCCACAGCCGGCTCAAGGCAGGGAGGCGAGGACCAGGACTCAACCAGAGGCAGGCGAAGCCTGGAGTCCATTCTCCTCGTGTCCCCCGCCCACCTGAGGGCTGTCCCGCCACCCTGCACCTGTCACTCGGGCTCAGGGCCTGACAGGTCACACGCGGACAGCCTGGTGGGCTGGGCTGAGCCATCGGGCAGGGAGTCTGAGCAGACGGGCCGTGGCGGGGACGCAGGAGGGGACAGGCACTCACCGGCAGGGAAGTCCCCCTGGGGGTAGTCGAAGCGGTGAGGGTAGGGCGGCCGCTCGAAGGGGTGCCGCGGGGGGAAGTCGTCCTGCATGAAGCGGGGCGGGAAGCGGTTGAAGCCGTGGGGGTGCGGCGGCTGGTTGAACTGCGGGTGCTGCTGGTGGGGCGGGAAGGGCCCGCGGAAGTGTGGCGGCCGCTGCATGTCTCCCCACATGCCCTCGTGGCTGTTGTTCCAGGGGGGGCAGTGGGGCGGCCCGCCCTGGTGGTGCGGGTAGGGGGGCTGTTCTGGAGGCTGCAAGGCAGAGCACAGAGGTCAGATTCCGGCCCGGGCGCGCTGCGGACGCCTGCGGCACGAGTGTCCGCCTGCAGAGCTGCTTCAGGCCGCGGTGCCGCGGGGCCCACCCACACCCCAGAGCCACCCGAGATGCCTACCGCGGCATCCATAACCCCATCTGAGGCTCCCCAGGACCTCGGGCAGCGGGCACACAGTGCCGGGTAACAAACACGCCCTCCCCTCCTCTGCTCCTGACACCAGTATCCCGGCCCCGTGGGGGGACGGCACAGACAGATGCCCTGTTCCAATCCTCGGGCCCCCGACTGGGCTCCAGGTGCCACAGTGGAAGCTCCTCAGTGGCACCCCCTTCCTGTCTCATTTCCTCATGCACCCAAGGCCATCTCCTGGGGTCTCCTCCCAGGTGAACCCCACTGACTTTCTGAGGCTCCGCTTCTGGGGACCCCAGACTCAGGCCCCATCTGTCTGTAGATTCTTTTCAGGAGGACAAAATGTCAACACTTAGTTGAGCCAGTTAAGCAAGGCAAGGAAACAGGCCAGCGGGTGGAGTGGAGGTGAAGGCGCTGGACTCCCACATGGATGACCACGGTTCGAGTCCCAGACCTGGTGGCTTAAAAAACATGCCAGGCGGGACCAGCAGTTAGCGTAATGGCTATGTCGCTGGACTCCCACATAGTCGACCGTGGTTCGAGTCCCGGACCTGGTGGCTTAAACTCACACCGGGCACGTGTGCGTGTGTGCCCAAGATCCCAAGAGGAGAATGGAGAAGGGACTGTAGCGTCGCCATCCCTCCAGGGGAGTGCACACACTCTATAGCAAAAAAAAAAGCCAGCCATGTATGCTTCAGTGCCCAGACTCCTGAAAGGAGAATGGAAGAGAAGGGATTGCAGCGTGGCCACCCTCGCTGGGAGGTGATTCCTCGCTTTCTCTGTCTCTCTGGAGAACACACACCCCATAGCAAAAATCTCTTAACAAAAAAGACCCTACTAGGGGTGTTGCTGCTCTCTCTCTCATGAATAAATAAAGTTAAAAAAAAAAAAAGAAGAAGAAAAAGCCAGCCCCATAGGGAGTAGATGAAGCAAGCCAGATCTCACACAGCAAACCATGGTTTGACTTGTAGCCCTGGTGGCTGGAAAAACATGCCAGATGGCCAACCATAGTTCGAGTCCTGGACCTGGAGGCTTGCTTTCTCACTCTCTCTCTCTCTCTGGTCAAAATAAAATAAGTAAATGAATAAATAAAATTAAAAATTATTTTAGGAAAAAAGAAAAAGAAAGAAAGAAAAACACGCCAGGCCCATATGCATGTGTCCAAAATCCCATCAGGATGGAGAAATGGAGGAGAAATCGTGGCGTGACCACACCCGACTGAGGGTGCTTCCTTCCTCCCCATCTCTAGCGAGTGCTCATGCCCTCTGGCAATCCCCAAAAAGAAACGAGGAAGGGGACAATTACCTCTCCGGTTTTAAATTTTGCAGCACTACCAGGGAGCGGGGGTCTCCATCACCGGAGGCCCAAACCCTCCGAGGGCAGAAGAGTAAGTGAACCCGACTCTCTTATTCCACTTGCCCTTGGGCTGCACGGCAGTGGAGTGGCCCGACACGCCCCTAGCATGGCCTCTGTGGAGAACCTGGCTGCAGTTCCCGTGAGCAGAGGAAGCCACCCACCTGTCCCCGGTCCCGGCGAGCCCCACGCGGAAATACCTGCTGTTGGCCCCAAGGAGCAACAGGGTGAGGCTGGTCAAACCATGGGGGCTTGTTAGGTGGAATCTGGTCGTGGGGCCCAGGACCCCGGGGGCCTGCGGCTGCAGACTCCTGGACCCCTCCTGCGGCGTCGTACTCCGAAGAGCCAGGCATTTGGATGGGAGGCTTGTTGTCATCTGAACCCAAGCACAAGTGGTTTAGAACAGGCCAGCCAGCAGGGGGCGCCCCCTGACCCAGAGCAGGCCTACCCCTGGGTCAGGTTTGATGTCACTTAGAAATATTATTCAAGCTCCTGACCAGGTGACTTTACAGGGAAAACCCCAGTCCTGTTCCTGTACACCACCCCAGAAGACAGAAAGAGGGGAGAGCTATCCAGAGGGCGGTAAGATGTAATGCTGCAAAGCTGATGCACAGGAAGGTTACGGGTTCGGGTCCAGAGACCTCCCTGAGTACGTCGGCCATGCAAATGCCAGGGATTGGGACTGAGGAAGGCTGGGGATAGATTCTGGCTTTGGGACCCAAGAGTTGGGGTGCTGTCTCTCATTCATGGGAGAAATGAGATAAACGACCCAGAAGAGCTAGAATCTGAAGTGATCTTAAACACCCACCAGTGCCACCTAGGCTGTGGCCCTGATACGCAGAAAAATGTCTCGTTTCACGTCCCCACTGAGAAGCAAGTTCCCTACTGCTTTTAGGAAGAGGGCAGGGCAGGGGACGCTCGGACCTCACCCACAGCACGTGCCTGTCGTCTCTGAAAGCTTCATGATAAACGCAGCTTGCTTCTGACATCTCGAGTTTAGCCCGTGGGGGAGCTTTCATCACTTTTTAAACCTTGTTGTTCCGTTTTTGCCATAGGGCACACGCGCTTGCTAGGCAGAGGCAGAGGGAAAGCAGGAAATCACCCCCGAAGGGGAATGGCCACACCACAATCCCTTCTCCTCTCAGGATTGTGGGCACGCACGCACACGCCCTGGTGTGGTCTTCACGCCACCGGGTCCAGGGCTTGAACTGCGGTTGTCAATGTGGGAAGCCAAAGCCTTAACTACCACACCACTTGCTGGCCACTCTCTGCTGATTTTTTATTAGATACCGTAACTGTGTCTAGTCCATAAGGTTGTTTCAGGGACTGGGAAGTGGTATGGTGGTCCAGGCACTGGATTCCCACATAGTTGACTGTGGTTCGAGGCCCGGACCCAGGGGCTTGAAAATCATACTGGGCACGTGTGTGCGCGCGCACGCGTGTGTGCCCAATATCCTGAGAGGAGAATGGTCACTGCAGTGTGGCCATCCCCTCTGGGGGTGATTTCTCACTTTTCGTCTCTCTGTATCTCTCTCTCTCCGCTCTGGCAAAAACATACCCTATGACCAAAAAAAAAAAAAAAAAAAAAAACTTAAGTCATTTTACCTTTCTTTAAAGTTATTTTAATTTTGGGGGAACCAGCAGTTAGCGTCATGGCTATGTCGCTGGACTCCCATGTAGTCGACCGCGGTTCGCGTCCTGGACCCGGTGGCTTAAAACTCACGCTGGGCACGTGTGCGTGCGTGCCCAAGATCCCGAGAGGAGAATGGAGGAGAAGGGATTGCGGCGTGACCATCCCCCCTGGGGGGTGATTTCTCACTTTCTGTCTCTATGTCTCTCTCTGTCTATCTGGCGAGCGCACGCGCCCTATAGTGAAAATCTCTCCCCCCCCCCAAAAAAAAAGTTATTTTAATTTTCTAGCGGGAAATCATTCTCAAGTTCCTGGGGCAAATCTTATTTGGGCGCCATACGATCGCACAGTCAGCCACGTGGGGTTCAGCTGCCCTAACCACCAGGCCCCAGGCTGGATCAATCAGAAAGCAGTTTTACGCTTCGCTGGGTTTCATCTGTTTAGACTTTCTTCAGTGTTTCTGCATCTATGTTTCAACGTAACTCTAGGATGGGGCCAGCAGGTGGTGTTGGGAGTGAAGGCGTTGGACTCTGCATGGCTGACTGTGGTTTGAGTCCCGAACCTGGCAGCTTGAAACAGGCCGGGCGCATGCACGTACGCGCCCCAGATCCTGAGAGCAGAATGGGGGAAAAGGGATTGTGGTGTGGCCATCCCTCACAGGGGGTGATTTCTCACTTCTTCTCTGTGTCTCTGATGAGCCCATGTGCCTATAGCAAAAATCTCTCTCCTACCCAAAAAAACTCTAGGTTATACGTTTAAACTCCACGCTGTCCTTGCTCACTGGTGTACAAATCCTAGTCTTGGGCCAGCAGGTGGCGCGCTGCAGTTACGGTGCTGGACTCCCACATGGCCAACAGCTCGGTTCGAGTCCTGGACCAAGAGACTCGAAAATCACGCCGGGCACGTGAGCGTGCGTGCCCAAAATCCTTCCTTAGAGGAGAATGGAGAATGGATTATGGCGTGGCCATCCCCGGGGAGGGGATGTCTCACTTTCTGTCTGTCTCTGGCGAGCACACATGCCTTATGGCATAAATCCAAAATACAGAGATAAAAATCCTAGTCTTAACGCACCGATCGGAGTCACTGTCTTCCCTGATTTTCTGTTTCATTTACAGCAGTGTGTGTACTGAGACAGAGGGAGACGAGCATGAGC